TGGCAGCGCGCATGCAAAAGCAGGGGGAGTGGCAGGCAGAGTGAGAGAGGGAGAAGCAGGCTCCCCACAGAGCAGGGAACCCGAAGTGGGGCTCGATCCCAGGACCCCAAGATCATGACCTGAGCCGAAGGCAGACACTTAACCGACTGGGCCACCCAGGCACCCTTACCCCCTTTAAATAAACAGCCATCTTCATGCTACAGCCTCAATTAATTAGAAACCACTGGCCTGAGGCTCAAGTAACTGGTCCTTTTGGTGTTTAAAGGTGGAAGTCACAGAGCAGATGCTGCCAAGACACAGGTTCAGCCCAAGTTCAACAGAATTCTAAGCAGCGTTGAGACTGGTGTTCAAAAAGCCAGAGCAGACTGGGAGGGGCCATCCAGGACTGACCACGCACCAAGGCCAGCAGCAAGGCCAGCAGCAGGCCAGGGGTAGGCCAGAACCATGAGGAGTGCAGAAGGAGCAGGTTCGGGAAGAAAACGGATGCACGCTGGGAAGTGAAGGCCACTGGGCAACCAGAGAAGGGAGGACGTTTCCACAGCGAGGCACTGTGGCCACAAGCCTTTGCTTGTGTCTTTGTCAGGTCAGCCTGGGATGCTCCTCCCACAGACCTGAGATCAGGAGAGGGGTCCTAGAGATAAACATGCATGTGTGCTCTGAAAAGAAAACTAAGATCCGATGCAAGAGCACATGACAACGAGGCTTAGTTAGTAAAGCTGCTTGAAATCTCCACAAGATCCCACCCAAAAAAGCTACAGAACATCTCACCACACCCATGCGTCAGGACAAGACCGTTCTGAAATCCAACACGGGAATCTTACCCCTAATCTGGGTTCCAAAGCTCACTGAGAACAAATGCATTTTACCTGAAGGAGCTTTAGAATAAAAAAGCTACCTCGCAAAGACAGCAAAGCCACAGTCTAGCAGACAGGACTGATCCTGACAGGGGCGAAGAGATATACCAGTTAATCAATACTCTGCTCTTCCTTTCACCCTGCTCCTCCCACTGAGTTTGAGCAAAAGGTTGAACAGGTAATGACTGCCCTCCCACATGACAACGCTAGATGCTCAAAGGAAAGAAAACACAGTTAAGGGAAGCAACATGAGTCTTCAAAGGTGTTGCCTGTTTACCGATTTCTTAGCACCAGGGAAGGGAAAGAGGGTCCTATTATTTTCCATTTAATGCGAGTATGTTCTTATGACAATATTTTTTAAGACTTGACTTTCACCAAAATTAGCTGAAAAAAAGCATGGATGAATTTATTTATAATAATGACATAAAGGTCTTTCCAAGCATGACAGAAATCCCAGAAGCCACAAAGGCAGAGACCAATACATCTGACAAATAGGACAAAAAAATACCCTTTGCAAAACCCAAAAGTGAATGACATATTGAGGAGAAATACATGCGCATTTGACAATGGGCTACGTTCCAAATTCCTTAACTTATATTATAAACCAATCAGACTGGGATGACACAGAAAATCCTATGGAAGAAGGTGCAAAGGAATTAACATTTCACAGAAAAAGAAAAGACAAATAACCAAAAACACATGAAAAGATGTTTAGCTTTCTTCATGACTAAACACATGTGAACTAGAGAAAGAAAAAATGAGATACCAGTTGTGACCCATCAGATTTGCACATATTTAAAAAGAATTGGCAACTGTAATCCTAAGGGATAACCTGGTCAGATCGATTAAATGCAGAAGGCATTCACCATTTGGTCCACCATTAACTGCTAAGAATCGATCCTACAAATATACAGTCCTTACAAAAGTATGTTAGGATATATGTAACAAGGATGCCCACTAAGCATTTTTATTTGCTATAACAAAAAAAAGATAGAGAAGGAGAACTTCAAAATCCATCAAGAGGAGACTGGCTCAAAACAACAACAACAGAAACAAAAAATCAACAGTGAAACACTACACAGCCATTAATACGGATAGAGAGATCAGTATGCTTCAATATAAAAAGCATTCTATTACTTAGCCCAAACCAGCATGATAAAGAACAATTATGTATGCATATGTGGGATTCTTTTCTTGTACTTTTCTTAAAAGAATAAATATACAGTGCTGTATCCACTCTGGAAAGAATCACATGAAACTATTAATGACAGTGACTTTGGGAATGAGGATTAAGGACTGGGGAGAGGGAAGGGAAACAGGCTTCATTTTATACTTTGAATGTTTTATCACATAGCTGTATTATTCTCACCAAAAGTTTTTTTAAGACATGTGTAAGAGTCTACCTAAAAATATATAATTTTGTAAACCAAAGAATCTAGAGAAAGATAAGCTGCAAGTGGATAATTAGTGTATCAAGCAGACAATTATAGAGGCAGAAACAAAGAACTATGAGGAGCAATGACAAGACTGATTACTTTTGACCAAAAAGACTTTCTTAAAAAAATCAAAATAGAACAAAGGAAAGCTTCCTGGTGTTAGTAATATGTGAACAGGGCTTTGCATTTCAAATGGAACAGAAAGAACACTTCAAACAGAAGGGATGGCAGGCGCAGGGAATAAAGGAGTGAAAGGTGTCTGGAGTAGTGGCTGGGGCCCAGGTTCCAGGGGTGACAGGGCAAAGAGGAGAACCACCGTCGGGACGTGGAGGGCCTTGAACACAAGATTAGAAAACCCTAACTCAATACTGGCAGCTGCCAACTTGAATACGAGTCCAAAGAAGGACTCAACAGGACTTGGGAGACTGCAGGATGCTATCCATTCTAGGAGGCAAGTGAGTTCAGTCTCAGACAAGAGGAGTCTGGGTTGCCCACTGGGTATCTGTGTAGAGCTGTCTGACAGGTAGTGGGAAGGGGCAGGCGGGCGGGGCGGGGGGAGCTGTACGGAAACATCAGATGCTGATTTGGAAGTAACCAAAAATTGTACTGAGAACTGATCTGGTAAGATGAGAGAGGAAACAGAAAGAAGTTTAGCTGAGAGCAGAAAAGTTTTGCTCTTTGCTTCTATGAGAGGTACTCGAACATGGTCACAAGAACAAGGTAACACCCACACTTAGCCCTCTCCTCAACACAACATGTCATTAATAAGGTTCTGCATCGGGCCTTCTTTTAAAGCTGTAAGGGAACCGAACAATGAAAACCAGAATGTAGACTAGTGATAACTTCCCGCGCTGCTAACCCATTCTGAAGAGAGCCTGAAGATGAGAGAGGGGACACTTAAATGCCATCTGGGCAAACACCCACATGGGCTTTGCAGTCCCCTCTACAACATTCTTGGGGAAAACCCTGGAAGTGTTTCCCCGTAACAACAACTGGAACAAAAGCACAAGCATAACATCCAAGCAACTGGCAACGTGCTGCTGAGCACACACTCTCAGCCATGGGCTGAGGGCAGGGACCGTGCGCCCAGAGCCCAGCACTGTGTCTGGCAGAGAGGGGCTCTTGGCACACGTCAGCTGACTCAACCCGAACCAAGCTGGGGGCTTAAAATCCCCGGCTGCCACCATCGCTACACCCCCAGCTCTCAATTCTTCCTGCTGAAGACCCAAGACCATCCCTTCCAGCGGCCAAAATCTAGCAACGTGGCTCATCCCCATGTAACCCATAAACACTCTAATTTGCTCCGCTTCATTTAAAAATATCCAGTGACACTTTTAAGAAAGCAAGGTTACAAATCTGGTAGTGGTTTAAGGCACCAGCGGTACCCATTATTCTCAATCAAGATGCTCACGATTCCAAACCCAGATCTGCACCTGCCGGACTCAGTCACTTGTGGACACCAGAGCCACAACTCAACCTCGGCTTCCTCTATCAGGCACGGAAGACCTCAGATCTCTAATTTCCATTCCATACAAAAAGTCATGAAAAAGACCACAGATGGAAGCACTAGGGACAGCAGGCATGGTAACAGCAGTAACAACTATATAAAAATAACTTTTCTAGGTATTTCTGCCTGGGTCTAGATCAAAACTAAACTTGAGCTGTCATGAATTACAATCTAATCCTTTAGAAAGCAGCAGCCGAATAACACCAGGGCTGCATAAAACATTCTGGTGCTGCTGAAACCCAATGCACGAAAAAAATAAATAAAATGGCATTCCGTGATGGATATTCATGAAGCACTCATCCTAATTTAAAAGAAAACAAGTCTAGAGTTCTTACTGCATTAATTCATGTGAGCCTGAAAGAACATTTTTATCCAAACTGTTAAGATTTCCTACCAAGGCGTTAACATTCTCCAAGTCTGCTCAGTTACACTAATTCTGAGAGTATGGTTTGGTTTGACAGTGGGGTTTGTCTTTCAGTCAATGCAGAACATCAGAAGCTTCTTCTGAGCTGTCCTGATGGGTAGGGATGGCCTCTTTAACCTCACCTGCAATGTGAACGACTAACAGTTATACTCCTACTGTGTACCATATGCTAAGGAAGCTCTTCACCTATTCACTGAAACTTCATGACAACACTCTGACACAGACAGCGCAACTATCCCCATTCTACAGATGAGGAAACAAACTCACGGAAACGAAGAACCTTTCCCAAACCAAGGTCACTGCCCAGGATTTGAACCTGGATTTGTCAATACCCTGAGTGGGATTTCTTATCTCCGGTAAGACTTTAATTCAGGCACACTGGTGAGATGCAGGGTTTTTACTGGTGCCAGACTCTTACTGATCTTTGGGAAGAGAATTCTCATTTAAGGATGTATCATTACACCAACACAATGATAATTAAGGGTTTACACTGTGTTGTACTTTGAGTAGTTTGCAGCCATTTTTCTGCATGATGTCCTTTCTGTCCAAAAACATCTCTTTACCTCTGTCTATGAAGCAGGTAAATAGATGTTTCATGAATTCATCCCAACTGAGAAAGGTAGGTTTCAGGTAAAGGAATGAGTAAGCTTTCTTAAGGCCAAGAACTCAAAAATGTCAATAAGTGGCATCTCATCTGCTTACTGCTGGCATTTCCAGGGACACTGGGCCTGGGAAACATAAGTCCCCCCTCTTAGGACAGAAGGATTAGAAAAGCTCACCTTGAATTGCTTTCTTCCGTGAGGTTTTCCGTGCCATCAATATCAACCAGAAAATAACCATTAGATATTAAAACTGCATTCAGTTGATGACCTTCACTAAGCTAAATTCAGCAGTCAGCTATAAAACATTAAATGGACACAATTAAGTTTGAAAAAACATGAAGCAGAATTTCAACTAAAGTAACATGAAAATGAATGGGAAGAAAACATTCTAGATTCAGGATACTGACATTTTCAACAAGTGCTTCAACTGAAAGGATCCAGAGACATGTAGAAATCCACAACTCATTTCTCCACCTTGATAAATGTATACCTGATGATGATGATGAAAATGTACTGAGCAGTTAATAGGAGCTACAAACTCTGCTACCTCCTTCATATATATATATATATATATTTTTTTTTTTTTTTTTTTTTAACTCTTAGCAACCCTATGAGATGGATTTTATTATCCCCACACTATAGATGAGAAGACAGGCTCAGAGACATTACACAATTTGCCCAAGTTCACAGGCTAGTAAGTAGCCTTGCTGGGATTCAAACCCAGGCCTATCTGATTCCAAAGCTGAGATTCTTTCCCCACAGTCTCCAACAGAAGAATTACATGACTTTTTTTTTCTTTCCCATAATCAAAAGTAAACTTTTTAATCTTTCAAAGATTCGTCTTATGCTCTGTGTACTCTAAGAATGAAAGCGGAAAACATCCACTTTGAATGGCATTAGACATAAGTGATATATAACAGAGAAAGCTGGTAACTAATAACAGATTCCCCTTTAAAAAGGAGGGAAATAAAAAAAAATTTTTTTAAGTTGTTTACCAACAAGAATCAGGAAGTATTTGAGTATCTCTTATAAAAGTCCGGCTACCGTATTAGATACCACCAGGGCTCCACAAGAAGTATTAAGACACAATGCCCTCAAAAAGCTCCCACTCCAGCTGGGACAAGAACAAGTTCAATAACCAAGGAACAAATGCTGAATCCTGAGCTTTAGATTGTGAGTGCCACAAAGGCATGGGGGTAGGGCAGTCAGGGAACACCCTCTGGAGGAAGTATATCTTCAGCAGGGGCTTGAAGGAAGTGAAATGGAGAATTTACATAGAGAAGAAAAAGGAGGCCAGCACTTCAGAAGGGGGAAGAACAGGAGCAAAGCCCTAGAGGCAGTCATAAACTTGCTTCTGCTGAGGACAGACAGGAGAAGGAGCAGCAGGGAATAGGTTCAGGTAGGTGGGGAGGGGCCAAACCAAGGACAGTCTTAAAAAAATAGGGTGGGCAATGGCTGGACACAATGGGGCAGACAAGAGGACACTACTCAGTGCCATGGCCTGTTAGCTGATCTCCTGGCCCCAAGCCTCTCCTTTCCCCTCCTGCAAATTATCACAAACCACCCCTAGTCTCCTGCCGCTCACCACTGCCGTTAGAATAGTTTTAACTTTGGCCTAGTGTTCAAGTTCTTTCAGGAACAAGGCCCAACCAATCTTTCTTCCTATTCCCTTTCCTATATGAACACTTCCCTACAAGGAGACTGGTCTATTCCCCAACTCCATTGGATCACTGGGCCTGATTTCTCTTTTCCTATCTGAGTCCTACTCATCCTTTAACAGCCAGCTCAAATCCTGCCTCCTCGCTAAGCCTTCCCTGACCACTCAGCCTCCAATGACCTCCATCTCTCCTTCTTCTTAATTCTACAGCACACAGCCCTGTCTCATCACTCAGTTACCTTTTCACAGGTAAAGCCTCAGCACCCAGTGTAAAGCTGCTTGGAGGCTATGGGTCTTCCAGTACTTTCCCCCACCACATGGAACAGCATCTTGACATTTAATAATCAAGCAAGCACTCAACTCTTTTTTTGACTTCCTATATTAAGTTTGGCATTAGCATAAAGGAAGGAGGGGGGAAGTGGGGGACTTCTGAAGTCACAGACCAACTAAGAAGCTGTTGCAATAATCCAGATGTGAAGCAAAGAGGGCCTGGACTAAGGAACAAAGAGAAAATGGGCAAATATAAACAAAAAAACATTTTGCATGCAAAAACTCAGCGGGATGTGATTGACTACTACTAGGGGCAAAAACAAGGGATGAAATATGATTAAGGTAAGGTTTAGAAACACTTCTGGGAATCATTTTAAAGCCTGTCTGAAACCAAGTGTATTAAGTGGCTAAAAAGTCCACATTTGCAAAAAGTCTTCAGTGAAACTGCCCAGTGTCTTGACCCAGGGACAGCCCTTCCAATTTCAGACACATACAGACTGGCAGACCCACAAGGGTCTTTAGAGAGCTAATCTATAGTTTGTTATTAGAGAGCTAATCTAAAACCCTCACTGATCAGATGGGGAAACTGAGGCCCAGCATGGTAGAGGCTTGCTGAAAGCCTCAAGACAACTCCCAGACTAGTGCCGCCCTAAAGCACAGCCGCCCAGGCTAGAACGACACTGTTTACACCCCGAGGCTAACCCCAGCCCGGCCCTCCGTAATGGCAGGACCGACTGAGGGCGAGAGTGACCATGGAGACGTCTAGAGCCAAGCAGGACGCGCCGCCGCCTGTTTACCTGGAGAAAGGCGGTGGCGTGGGGCAGGGGGTCCGTTGCAGCCACCGGCAGCGCCGACCCCGCGGCCCGGCCAGGCTCTCCAGGGCACTCAACCATCCGGCCTCCCCGTACAAAGGGGGAGCGCCCCTGGGGGCAAGGCGCCCGGAAGCATGGGATCCCGAGACGCCCGGGTGGAGGCTGGGGAGCCCGGGGCAGCTGGCCGCGCGCGACCCTCGGCCCCGCCAGCGGCGTCCGGACTCCGGGGCCGAACACTGTTGGCCCCTCCGGGGCGAGCGCCTGGCCAGAGCAGGTGCCGGGCCTCCCGACCCCGCCCGGCCTCGGCTGCAGCCCGCGCCGCCCGCCCACCCGCCGGCCCGCCGGACTGACCAGGCGCGGAGGCGCCCGCCCCGCCGCGCCCAGAGGGAGCCGGACAGCAGCCGAGGGCTGCCCCCGGCCCCGCCCGCTCCGCCGGCTCCTCGCCCGCCGCCCGCCGCCCCCAGCCGGCGCACCTCACCTGCCGAGAGCGCCGCGCTCACATCGCCCGCCCGCGGCGCCCCCTCCGCCGCCGCCGGCGCCAGGCCCGTCCCCGCCGCTCCGGCTGCCGCCCCAGCCCGCGCCCCCCGCCCCCGGAAGCGCTTCCCGGCCCCGCCCCCTCGGCGCCAGCGCTTCCGGGCAGGCGCGGACGGGGGCGGTGGCGCTGCGGGATGAACCTCTCGCCGGGCCTCGGGATCCCAGATCCCGCCTCGGCCGCGTCTAGGAGCCTCGTGGCGGACGCGTGGGCGAGCGGCGGCCCTGGTCCCGACTGCGGGAGGGAGCGGCGGCGGCTTTGCGCCCCACGGCCTTCCGCCCGCCTTCTCCTCGGCGCCCCCTGCTGGCGGGAGGAGGGCTCCGCAGCGGGGCGCGCCGCGGGTCTCCCGGAGAGGAACGGGTAGGCCAGGACCCTCGACCCGCCACCCCCTGGGAGCCTGCGACCACCGCTGGCCCAGCCCTCCCCTTCCGAGACCCTCGACCCCACAGCCCTTCGGGCGCCTACCCCTCACCCGAACCGCGCCCGGCGGGACAGCTGAAGGCAGTAAGGTGCAGTGGTGACAAGCACGGGCCTGGGGACCTGCCATATCGCGTCACTTAACGTATGACCTTGGGAAGATTACCTCCCCCCCCAAAGCGGGAGATGAAAATTCCGAACTTGCGGTTATAAAACCCCTGTCGCAGAGCAGGCCTCAAAAAATGTGCATTTCCAGATCCTTGGAGACACCCCAATGTTGATACTCGGCTGCAAGTGTGAGCTTGGCCAGCATTTTCCTCTCGGCTTTAGGCGAATTTAACCCCCTTTGAAGAGGTTTACCCCCTTTGCATTTTGGCGGATTCCTCCATAGTAGTGGCAGAGGTTCATTTACTCTTTTCTGAATTTGTAATAAAAATAAACCAGGAGTCAAGATACCCGCTCTTCTTCAAGATACAAAGCTGATACTTCCTGATGCTACTTCATCCTTTGCAATCAGGAACTCTTTCTCTGGGTTCTATCAAATAGTCATCTTCCAATAACAACAGCTACCCTTTGTTAAACAGTCTGTGCAGGGGCACTGTGCAGACGCTTTATAGACCTGACCCCTTTAATACGCAACCCCAGGGGGTAGCCATCAGTTATCTCCGTTTTATCCAGGAGGGAACTGAGGCTCAGAGAGGTTAAGTGACATATCTAAAGTCACACAGCTGAATGGCAGACCTGGGATCTCTCTGACTCCAGACAGGAACTTCTTATGGCAATAGAATATTCCAAACACAGAATTTTAGGTAACCAGTTTCTAACTGCAGGCATCTGGGCAGTGTCACTCTCTAATTACTCTTCCTCTTGAGCTGCTTCCTTGAGATCTGTCCCCAAGAGTGAGATCAGTGAACTCAAGGGCACAGGAATGCATCTTCTTGTCACTCCAGGTTTCCTCGGGACCACTGGGCTGACTCACAAGCCCACATGAGTGAGTTCCTGTTTCCCTTCAGAGCAGCTGTGGGCCTATCATTTTAACTGATTGTTGCTAAATTTGTTGGTAAGAGTTAGGGTCTTCTTGGCTGTAATACAGTATTTGCATGGCATTAAGGACTATAAAGACTAACATGTTCCTAAGTGTTTCACCTTGTTGTCATGTGTCTCAAAGTTACTGGCCATCTGTCCATTGGACACTGGGTATTTCCCTCACAGATATATTTTTATTTGCCCACCTACTTGGGCCACTAAACTCATATGTTTTTCCAGTCTCCTGCTTTTATTTTTGTCATTTGGCTGATTATGTGTCATAATCTTTACTAATTTGTTGTAGTTAGAAAATCGTCGCTTCTCCACAATTGGAGTGTATGTGTTTGTTTTCCCATAATCTTGGTAGCATTTTCAAAGTGATTTTTTAGCCCATTTGAAATCAAAAAGAGGCTAGAGGGTGATGTATGGGCCTCATTTTAATTTATTCCACAGTTATCCAGCCTTGCCAGCAGTGTTTATGAAATGGTCAAATTCACATCTCATCAAAGTCTGGGCTTAACCTTCAATCCAGTCAAGGAGTGGTTTTGCCATTATGGGAGTCAGCATTTGTGACAGTGACAGCTGGTGTTGGCTGATATCTGTGTTCCTCCTTCTCTTCTGAGGCACGTGGCTAAAACACATCTCCCTGCCTGCCCTCCACGTCACGTGTCAGTGGAAATAGTGTGTGAAGTGCTTGTAAGTGAATTCCCTTCCCTGTCTTTCTTCCTCTCCCTTCCTAGGACAGATGGCACTGAATCTGCAGTTCTCACCTGTTTCAGATTCCTGAGCACTGATAGCCAGGTTATCTGATCCCAGCCTCTCCCTCTTCCGGTTCCCACAAGGAGACCCTTTCTGCCAGAAGTCAGGCTATGCTATGTGGCTCTGGCCCACTTAAAAATCCCCAGAGTTTGGAGGTGCCTGGCTGGCTCAGTCAGTGGAGCTTTCGGGATTCTGAGTTTGAGCCCCATACTGGGTGTAGAGATTACTTAATAATAAAATCTTTAAAAACAAAATTAATAAATAAAACATAAAATCCCCAGAGTTCGGCAAAATCTGTGTTGGCACCTGTTAGGGTCTTTACAGGACACACAAGAGTCTGAGTATCCCTTAAACACAAAGATTGTATGAAGTATTGGGGGTTTCCTCATTACCACTCCCCTCACCAGGATGTGGGTGTATGCCCCTTCCACCTGCCTCACTACCTACTAGTTCTGGGCCAGCAGGGGGCGTCTGTCTCTCCAAATAGTCCCACGATGTCCACTGACTTCTAGAACATCCCAGACGGTCAGGGTTCCTTCCACCTGACCACCTCTGCAGGGTAGCGTCAGTGTTCCACTGGGCCAGGAAGAGCCCTCTTCCTTGGAGACCCCTCTCATCCCCCTTGCCTGTGTAACAGGGACCAGGTAGTTGGTTCACGCCTCTGAGCCTCTCTTCTTCATCTGTTCAGTGGTGATTGGACGGTGAGGTGTGAAATGTAGTGTCACTTCCCACCGCCAAGACTGGGCAGTAGAGTGCTGTGGCTAAGCAGTGAGGCAGATCCGGGTCTCCGTTCCTGCTCAGCCACGGAGCTCCATGATCTGATCCAGGGCAAGGCACTCATCTCGCTGAGCGCTGGCCTCTGCATCTGCGTACTGGGTGATAGTACCTACCTCCACGGGTAAATAAGATAACAATACAATGCTTCCAGCATGGCACACTCAAGAATTATTCTTGATCAACAAGAAAGCGAGGGAGATGGGGCGCCTGGGTGGCTCAGTTGGTTAAGCGACTGCCTTCGGCTCAGGTCATGATCCTGGAGTCCCGGGATCGAGTCCCGCATCGGGCTCCCTGCTCGGCAGGGAGTCTGCTTCTCCCTCTGACCCTCCTCCCTCTCATTCTCTCTGTCTCAAATAAAAGTAAATAAAATCTTTAAAAAAAAAAAAAAAAAAAGAAAGCGAGGGAGAAAGTCTGGCTGCGAGAGCCCCTGCCCATTTCCATGAGGCCTTTTCTTACTTCCTGGAGAGATGGCTTGCTGTCTGCTCTCCTGTCTCAGCTGTCCCGCTGCCGAGTGGGCCTGCCTTCCTTTGGACCTGAGCCCTGCTGACACCCAATGGGCACAGGTGCTCCCTCTGGAGTCCTTCCTCACTGTCTTTTCTTCCTGCCCTCTCAGTTTCCTGCTGATTTTCCAACACTGCGCCTTTAACCGACTCTGCTGGCACTCTGTACTTCTCCTTTGTAGTAACCACAATGGTAATTAATTAATTATCTGTACAATTATGAGCTTAATATCTGTGTCCCCCACCACTAGCCTATAAACTCCATGAGGGTGAGACCTTGTCTGACTTCTTCCCTGCTGTTTCTCTAGTTCTTGGTACTCCATAGGTATCTGCTGCATTAATAGATAATGACTGGTTACCTGTTTTGATTTCTAAGTCTATGTTCCTTGAGGACAGGGACTATTTAACTGACCCATTTCCTCTGCATCCTGCGGAGAACCTGAATGAGCAGTAACAAATATTTGCTGAGTGAGACAAAGAATGAATGAATGAATGAATGAATGAACGAATGAAGACTGAACCCCTCTTTCTCCTCCCCTTTTACCTGCAACACACCTTACAACCAAGTCTTCCCATCTGTGTAAATAGTCCTTGGTCCTAACCAGCCTCTATTTTGCAGCTTCCCTTGACCCATGGTGAAGGTAGGTGAGAAAGACCTTCCACATTTGTAGGGAATTCTCATTTGAAAAACAGAGTTTTCGGGAAATCTGCATGGGTCCTCTCCGTGCCCTGCTTCTTGTGGAGGACACACCTACCTGGTCAAAAGAGAGGGTACTCAAGAGAGGGTACACAAATACATACAGGACCACCTTTGGCCCAGAGCATTTGCCTCCCACTTATCATCAAAGCCATTAACTGCAAAGTTTCATACTCACACTCATACATGCTATGGTAGGCAGTGCTGGATTCTGGTTAAGAGAATGCAGGAGTCTTTTTTTTTTAAAGTAAGCTCTAGAGCCAAGGTGGAGCTTGAACTCACGACCTGAGCTCAAGAGTCGTGTGCTCTACTGACTGAGCCAGCCAAATGCCCCAAGAATGGGGGAGTCTTTAGAGTTGCTTTGGGTGAATCACTTAATCTTTTGACTTTTTGCTTTTTCTTATTTCTCTGAAAATGGGACCTAATATTACCGAATCTCCTCTTTTAATCAAGGATGCGTTCTTGTTCACATTTAAACATTCTTGGAATCAGAAGACATCTTACAATCAATGAGTATATTTAATTGGGTTGTGTTTTTGTTGTTGTTGTTGTTCCAAACGCAAATCAACAAATCCAGAGTATATCTCAGAATCAGCATTCTTGAGAGCTATGTCTCTCAAGACACAGCCCTGTTGTAACTCACAGGCACATGTCTGACTAAAGTCAGTAAAGTGGAGACATCTGCAAAGATCTAGCCTGGTTTAAAAGGTGACTTTGTGCTCTCAGTGTTAGAAACTGGGCACAAACCCGCTGGGCACGCCTTAGATTTCAATGAAAGGAGAAAACCGCACGTGAAGAATATTCACGCCATCACCTGTGTTTAATGTAAAGCCAACATCCTGTCCATCAAACACGAGACTAGAAACA